ATAGCAAACACTGTTTTGTTAGATAAATTACGTGTGTAACATAATAAACTCAATTCAATAAATGAATGAAACCTATATGTTTCAACTCACATAATGTGTTTGAGATAATTGGATTGATATAAATGAATAATAATGTTGTCCGTAATATATTATTCTGAGAAATATGATCAATAACTCTTGAACCACTCATGTGTGTGGAATAAAATCTATTGGAATCGAAATTGTTCAATGAGCACATTGCTAATATTTTCAACAACCTTTTGCCTGCGACCGTGCCCGCGTGTATGTCGGTAATTTCGGAATCGGTAGCCTATGCTACTGGCTGATAATCTAGCTTTCCATTGGTGCAAGAATTTCACAAATAAGTTCAGTGATTTAGGCGTGAACGCGTAATAAATAAATTCATTTTTACATTTTTATAATATAAGTTTGGATATAATCTACACATATAAATTTACTTGCTGATTGATTCATCAACCACTGGAAATTTTGACAGCTGTTGTGAACACCTACTAAGAAATGATTTTTGGAAATTTCAACCCTAAAATAGTAAAATAAGGGATGAACAGTCGTATGTCGGTTCGTCATTTTCAAAGTTACAAAAATAACCAATTATCATCAGCGAAGTCGCGGGAAATAGCTGGTCTTCTAAATAAGTCCAACCGTATGCGGTGATGGCGACTCCTTTGTCTTCAGCCTGGGTTCCGTTTTCGATGGGCCCTGATTTGACTTGCAAAGCCGAACTTCGTTTTGAAATTGCGGTTGCATTGCGCACAGTAAATCTGAACATCCGAGTTTAATATGTAGTGGTACGAGGCCCTGGTTCTACTTTTGCGCATTTGACGCTTTGTGTCGAGATCTTTCAAATGCAGTGCTCGCATATTATGATGTGTACCATATTGGATACTATTGTGTTATCTCTCAGCCAACTCTAGCATTTAGTGCGCTTTTTGTGCAAAATCAATTAGCGCGAACTTTTCCGCCTTTCTGTTACATACTTCCATCCCTTTTCTCAATATCGCTCCCATATAGAATATATTTATATATACAAGGTTATTGGTTAAGTCAACCTAGATACTTTAAGGGGTCGTAGTAGCGATAATTGCTGATAGATTTTACTATGAAATACCATATCCCAAGCCTAACCATTTTCAAGATATTGAACTTTTAAGATTTTTTGTAATAAAATTTATCTGAAGAAAGATATTGAAGAAACTTTGCCTGTATAAATAGAATAAAAATTGTTTTTTTCAGCCTTAATACCTTTTTCCTACCGAGAAAGATATTAATAATATTCTGCCACATGCACACAACGCCATCTAGTCCCAAACTAAGCAGAGCTTTTACTATGACTACTAGACAACTGATATAAATACATATATACTGTTTTTTTGGTAAATACATACATATTATACATAGAAACACCCAGACCAAATCAAACATTGAATATTCATGCACAATAATGTTTGACTTGAGCGGGAATCGAACCCGCGACTTTTGTAATAGCAGTCCGTTACACAAACCACTACGCCATCCGGTCGTCAAAGGCTGGAAAAGCGATAAGGAAGCATTTGTATAAGTCATCAGTCTTAGTCATATGAAGATCACTTAGATTAAAAAATAACTTTTTTAATGATCTTATTATTTGGATATATTTTTTTATGGCAAACGTTCAGACGGGTCACCTGATGGTAAGCAACAACCGCCGCCCATGGACACCTACCATGGGCCCTTTTAGTCCCTCCCGCTCGAGTCAGCGGGAGGGGGGATTTGGGCTCGCTTAACCAGCTTTCACTCAGTGAAAGGCAACGAAAGAATTGCTTAACACCAGTTAAACAGAAGAAGGCAATTTTTATTTAAAAATATAACAATTAGTCTCCTCCTTTTCGAATTTTAAAGTTACTAAGAAATAGACCAGCTGTACGGAAAAGCCACACCATTCACAACTACTCGTACGTCGTTATATAACCGCTGAATAGTCCATTGAATAAAAAAGTTTTAAAACCTTTTCGCGCCTTACTTTTTTTCATTGGCGCGGTCACGGTCAAAGCAAGTCTATTAAGTACGCAATTTATTACACCTACATCTAACGCCGAGGGGTTTGATAAAGAATTTTAGAATAACAATGTTCTATGGAAGTTAATGACGTCACTTTAAAGACTCGTGCTTGTTCATTTTTCTGGAATAATTGACAGATGTTTTTAGATCGTTTTATTTTTGGTACAGTATTAAAGGGAAGGTTGTCTACTGCTAAACTCTTTAGTATATCAGAATATGAACCTGCTTCCAGTAGTAAGGATTGTTATTTATAATCATAATATTTTGGACATTAAAGACCTGGTATCCACCAAAGCAGAGAGGAGAGGAGGCGAGAGGAGATGTGTTTCCAATCAGATTTTTTTATTTCCACATCTCCTCTCCGCTTAGCTTCTGTGGAAATGGATCAAGCGGAGAGGAGAGGAGATGACTTATTTTAACTAATGTTCTTTTTCTATGTACATTTGTGTTATATTTGGAAAAAAAAGTATTTTTCTTAGTATTACAATACCCAATAATTTCCATGGAACCACTACAATTTCAATCAAAGGTTTTTTTTTATGGTTTAAAGGGGCAAACGAGCAGACGGGTCACCTGTTGGCAAGCAACTACCGGCGCCCAATTATTTAGTATGTAATACCTCCATACTAAATTTTATTAAAATTAGTCCATCCATTTGTGCGTGAAGAAGTAACAAACATACAAATACACACACTGACAAACTTAAAGTTAAAGGCCTCAATTCTGCTATACACACACTGACAAACTTAAAACTTAAAGGTTTTAGGCCATTCGTTGTATGTACCCTTTTTGTGTGTTTATTTTAAGAGATATCTTATTTGTAAGCAGTATCGTTATATTATACCTGGGATTCTCTTTTAAAATATAAAAGTATATTTTAGGTAATTAAATTCCAATGAAAAAGTTTAAGATTCTTATACTTGAGAGGAGAAATTGCCAAAAAAAACTTTGCCTTTCAATAGTAGCTACTTTATAACAGTAAGTGCTCAACTATCCTCATTTAATTTTAAGCATGATTACTTCGTCTCTTTGTTGATGAAAGGTATTAGACGCTGAATTTAACTAATTAGTATAAGATTTGCCATTTTTATCAAATGTTTATAGTTTGAAAATAATTAAAAAGGGTAGGCATGTGGTAAAGTATTATCAGCAGCATATGCGGCATAACCTATATTGGTTTTATATATTTGTAATTCTTTGAAGTGTCAGTTTACATTTGATTGGCCCTCAATAATTGTTTTAACACTGTATGTGCATAAAAAATGTCTGTAAAGTTTTATTTACCGTGTTCATAACGGTACCACTATTTTTTGTTACCGCTCACAATTTAATTAGCTTAAAGGATTTACGATCCGTTTCACACTAAGCGGTAACAATGGTTTCAACATAACTTTCAAATGCCAAACAAATAATAATAAAGATAATAATACTATAACCACATTCACACAACGCCATCTAGTCCCAGATTAAGCAGAGCTTGTACTATGGGTACTAGACAACTGATATAAATATATACATACTTTTTTTTGAAAATACATACATATGCCAACTCAAACATTAAATGTTCAATCGCACACATGTTTGACTTGAGCGCTAATCGAACCCACGACCTTTTGGCGTAGCAGTCCGAACACAAACCGATACGCCACCCGAAATGCGAATTACGTTATAAAATAGCTCAAGTACATACTTTGCTATGTAAACATCTTTCCGATCAACTTTGTAAACATCTGAGGGCCAAGTCGAGTTTATTTCACTTCTTCGTTCGGCACTACGATTGGCCCGCACTGAAACCTCCACCAATCGCAACCGAGAGCGTGTCGATGTGAAAGAAACTTACACCCAGCCCTCCATAGTGTTAGAAGGAGCAATTCTCTTCCAATATGTTTTACGAGCAGTAGCTTGTAAGAAAACCTTTACTAAACAGCAGCTGGCTCAGTATGAAAAAACTTTCTCTTTGCCTTTAATAATAAAGTTGGAGTGTTATAATACTGAGCTGATGCCAACGCCTTTGTTTAAGTACTTGCTGTTTTATAAAATAATAACTAATAAATATTCTTCTAGGAGATTCTGAATTATACTAATATTGTAAAAGCTAAAGTTTGTCAGTGTGTGTGTTTGTATGTTTGTTACTTCTTCACGCTCAAATGGCTGGACTAATTTTAATAAAATATAGTATGGAGGTATTACACCCTGGATTAACACATAGGCTATTTTTTCGCCCCGAAAAATTTGTAGTGTTCCCGTGGAAATTTTTGGGTATTGAAATAGTAAAAAAATACTATACTCAAAATTGAATAACGATGTCATTAAAGATCGTTAATATTTGCTAAACAGGAAAAGAACATTGATGAACAGAAAAGTAGGAGAAAGGGGTAGTGACCTATTTCTAGACCTAAACATGAAGCTAAATTTAAACTTAAACCCAAAATATCTTTATGTCATAAAAAAATAATTGTTTGAAAACACACACAATAGACACACAATAGTAACAATATCTGTTTTTTTTTCAAATATTTAGCATAATAAATATATACGTATCGAAAATCTATTATATGCCTGTGCCGATCTACAACCGCCCGTTTCTAAGGAGTTAAGTCCTACGAGAAGCAAGGATAAACAAAGTTATAGCCAATTTTTTAAATTAACAGATAGGTACAATTGTGTCATTAAATATACCACATCAATCGGTTAACCTTAAACAACGTGAACTAACAGTTAAAACTAACTTGAAACAGTGAGTAACTAAGATGATGCTAATAATAAACTAGGCAAAACCTGTACTATTGTGACTAGGCTTGCTGATAAACATACCTATATATTTCTGAATACTTACTGTACATAAATTACACCCAGACACAGAACAAATGATCATGCTGACAAACCATTAATGACACTTCTTTGTAAGACATCTTATTAAAAAACAACAATCTTGTCTGCAGGTATCAGCTGTAGTAGATGACGTCTACTCCGACCACTCCCATGTGGCAGGCTCCTTCACAATGCTGGCCAGCTCCAGAGCTCACGTCGGAGGTTCGTTGAACGCAAGGGCATTGCCTGGAGCCAGAGTGCACACAAATTTCATTGGCTGTTTGAAGAAGGTGAGTAAAAGAAAGCACTCTAATATTTAAAAATGCAAAACTTATTATAGTAGTGATTTAACTGAATGTTAATGGGAAAACTTCACAGAAAACGTTCCTTAATTTTCTCGTATGTTTACTAGATGTTGAAAGTTTAAGTACCTGTAGAGTATGTTTTTCTTACTTAGTTTTGAATATGTCTTGAACGCTTTATTATTGCCGCATATGGTGAGAACTTTACAAGTTGTAGCGTAAACCATTGTCAACTGTATTTTTATAACTGTATTGTAGTTATGTAATGTTTTTAAATAAATACGTGTGCAGTTGAAAAAGGTATAGGCTAAAATACATATATTTTGTAGTTTTTTGTTCCTTAAAAATTGAGAGCACTATTTTATACTATATTAAAAAGCCTGACCGTTTTTGTTATTTGCTTGTATTTGTCAACGAAATAACCCTACACTATATTTAGTTTTTGTTTTATTGTTGTTGTTCCTTGTTTTATTGTTTATAAGATTTCAACAGTTTCTGAACTTTAGACACTTGCTATATTTATAGTTATAGTCAACAAGTAAATGTAAAAGTGAGTTAGTTTGTTTGTTACGCTTTCACGCCTAAGACACTAAACTGTCGCGGGCGAAAGCCTATTATTACCTATATATTTTAAGTAAATAAACCCTTATACATATTTCATCGTCAGGTGGAGTTTTCTGCGGACACTCTTCGACTGAACCTGATCGACCTAGCTCGAACTGGCAGCAAGCTGATCACAGTTACCGGTCGTCTTGAGTATGCGTGTACAGCCACTGACTCCGCCGACCCAGTCACTTTCACTACACGAGATGCACATTTGGTAAGTCAGAAACTTTACTCTTAATATCGAGTCTTTTGAGAGGGAATGCCTACCTGGTATTAAATAATACTTAAAGTAAACAAAAATTTACGGTTATTGTACTTCAAATCGTAAAAAATCCATTAAAATTTTTAAAAGCTTTAAAAAAACTTTGTACAAACCACTTATAAAAGCTTCAAGAATAGAGCGTGTTCCTTCCTCAAAAGCCGGTTACGCGTTTGTGACTCCTGAATAGCAAAAGTTCATGGGCGGTGGTAGTCACTTGCCATCAGGTGACCCGTCTGCTCATTTGCCCCCTCTTTCATAAAAAAAGTATAGGAGAACAGAAGAGCACCTGAATGATTTATTTATAGTCAATCGAGCTGAACTTGCAATAAAAAATAAATTAAAAACTGAATTCGATTATTGAGCTATCCACTAAATCGTGAATGGTAAAACAAACGCGTATTAGATTTAAATAGTATTCATTATAACAGCAACTAAAGAAAACAAATGGAGTTGTTCCATTCGCGTGGAGTATCTAATCTAAAAGCAACATTTTTTTTTTAGTTTTTCTACTTTTATTACACTAAACACGTGAGGCACATAAACACTATAATTATATTTACTGCAGTGTTATAGAGGCATTACTTTTTTAAATATTCTCAATTCCCATATAAATTAGGTATATTTGAAATTTCGAATTTGAAATCATACTACAGAGCAGTGTAAGGTGCAAGTGGGGATAACATTAAGGTCGAAAAAATATGGACGTTTTGTGCGCCTTTGCCTACTCCTCATTTGTAAATCTGAATCCAAATAAAATAAAAGATAATCCAAACAAAACTGAAACTTCTGCATTCTCGATTCTCAAAACGGTCATCCAATATTTTGAAGTGCCCATAAAACCATCTAAGCGAAAGCTTGCAATTCAGTTGAGTTGAACCAGAGATAGCAATTAATGGTCTGCAATGTGCGAGAACTGATTCAGTAATCCCAGTCGCATTCATTAGTGGAGGGAAACGTGGGGAAGTAATTATAGAGCACGAATCGGAGAACTCTGCATTGATGGCTGCAAAAACTAAATAGGATGGAAGATATTTTGAAAGTAAAATCTGTTAAGTTAAATGTAAAGTTTACCAAATAAGTGACATTCGCTAGTTGTCTCTACTTTTGAATGTTTTTTTTTTTTAATGTTTTTGAACAATTTTTAATATCTTGATTATGAATATGGATATCATTGAAGATGTAATTTGATGAGAGAGGCATTTGTACTTTAAAGTAGTATACTATTGAATTATGCTTCTTGTAAACCAAAAAAAGAGTAATGAAGAAAATCTTTACTGATATAGTTTTGAAGTGTTACTGTCGATAAGGTGTTACATCGATTGGAATTGAGGTCATTACTAACTAAAGATTGACTAACGCGACCCTTTGTATATTTTGTAATTTGGATTTATTTGAAATAAGTTACTAAGTTTTCTAAGTTTTTCTAAGTTACAGAGGAAATACCCGTTCCAATAAAATACTTCTTGCGTAGAGGTTTCCTGCTTAATACTGGATAAGCAGCCAATACTTAAAACAGTATTTTTAACTTTTTAGTTCAATTAAAGAGCAAATAGATCTGCTCCACAAATAAAAAATGTGCTTTGTTTATTTATTTATTTATACTTTATGCACAAACGTGACAAAGGCGGACTTAATGCCGTAGGCATTTTCTTATAGTCAACCTTAGGGCGATGGGAGACCATGGTGTATGCACAGAAATTTAAAATGTGATTATACCTACAGTACTTATATTAATTACATTAGAATAATCATTACTTAATAACATATGTATTACTATAAGTAATAAGGATACTAACACACACAATACATACATAAATATTTACACACACATAATAATATATATACATATATACCCACAAAATAAGTTCTAGAGGAGAGTAGAAAATTAAGGTAGATTTGATAGGGAGTTTAATAAATGGAAGGATAGAATTCGTTAGAATAGAATAGAATAATGGATTTCTTGGAAGATTCTTAAGAAGATCTTGATCTGACTATGATGTAGAGCATCATAATAATTATTACTTAGTAGACAATTTCAAATAGAATTGCGCTCAAACATTCCTAGACTTAGCAAGTATTTTAATTGCAATGGTCTTTCAATTTCGTATTAAATAATAATTACTTACTACAAACAATACTAAAAAAACAATACTGCACAACACAAGGATACATGATATAATTTAAATTAAAATAAAAAGTATATTTATTGGACATTGGACAAGGAAATACAAAAATGGTTAAGCGAACAATTCTTGATTACTTAAGTGACGGATGCATAAGAGATAAAGATCAGCTATCGACAGCAAAACAATAACGCGATCCAAAATTGAACACAATTTCCATCAGCCAATACATAACGTGGATAATAAAAGCTCCAAAATGGTGTTCAATTCATTAAAGGCAGGCGACTGTTGATTTCCACTCACAAAAACTAAGTAGCAATTAAAAACAATGGTTTACTGGAAAAACTCTGTGTAAAAACCCTTCCCGTTTAAAGTGACCGTTGGTCTTTCACGAGCACTTTGAAAGCCGGACTCTTGAATTTAGGCCGAGTGTCGCTCGGTACTTGATTAGATTGGAATGGCGGTTATTTGATTTGAGTTAAGGATGGGTTAGCCTTAGCCCGTGTAGATTGAATGAGATACGGTTTTGTACAGAAACTTTCTGTAAATGATTTAGAGGGTAGATGGTTTTGTTCATTTCATTTACTTTTAGAAATTGGTCATATTTTGATACTTCGATACTGTACCTTAACGAAGGATTACTTCGGTGCTTGTCTGTCTGTCTGTGTTTCAAGATTCTATTTTTTTTGAGCATCCCGCTGACTCCCCCCTTCGAGAGTTAAGTTGACCCGTATGCATTTAATAGAAGAAGTATAAAAATTCAAGCTTCTCAGTCGATTGATGAAGGCGTATTAAAAGAAAATCATAAGAAATCTGAATATAATAAAACTAAAATCATTGCTCAGAAGCAATATCTCACGACACAAGAAAAAATAATGTTCCTTTAACTTAATCCGTTTCTTAAACTTAAAATTTGATTTGGTGTTTATCGATATACATATTTTGAACGTCATAGTTAAATTTAGGACACGAAATAAAACTCGAAAAAGTCTTCAAGAATTATTCTCGAGATGGATGACTATCTATACACAGGATTGTGAGGAATCTTCGGTACGCCTAACTAAACTTACGTATACGTACTTTATAATAAAGTTACAAGTACTAAATTGTATAGAATTCTACGTAGTATGGTGATTCCTTAAAAATGCAGATTAATTTACTAAAATTTTATTATTTACCAATCAACCTTTGACCTTGTCAAATAACATTTTCCAAGTAAATTTACCTTTAAATTAATTAGTTTATTCTAAATTTCTGCGTACTGGACTATTAGTTATTCAGGGTTTATATGTAAGTGATTAGGTGACCTGTTAGTGGTGGCTGCCGTACACTAGGCTTGCATTTTGTAGTGACTAAATGACCTTCACGTCTCTTGTTCGTGTTTAATAAAGGGATTTCAGATTGTGGACTGTAATTTCGTGAGAACTGCTGCTTTTAATTAGATTTAAATTGTTTTAAAGTTAGTCTAGTCTAGACATTATCAATTCCCCTCAGGGCCGTGGGGGTACAATTACCTTTGATAAAGGTTTAATATCAAATATATTTTTGGCATATTTTTTTCTAATTAATTTTACACAACAAAATTATTAAAAGCTTTACAAGTTTTATTTTATTTGTATAATTCATATTGTTCAAGGCTGCCTGTACGTCCTACGGCGTTAATACGTGCTTTGATATCATTGGTTTGTTGTGCATTCGGCGTTGACAAGTTGACCAACAATTCCAACCAATTATTAAATATCTAAAAGATTTACAAAAAAGTATATCTGAATAATATCGAGAAATGAGAGTTGTTATAATTTACACAATACCATAACTACTCAATGTCTTAAACAATAAGATTCCAACATTTTCCCTTGCGAAAACCAAAATTGAATAATCCTCAACTATTACTACCTGGTGTTAATTAATTTAATTTATGATATTTCATAAAACGCGGTTTAAAAGCAGTATGTGTACCTAATCTGGATATACATAGGTATGTGTATCCTTAATAAATTTAGATTGTATACGGATTCCTCTCAAAGTGTAGTCTACTCATATATTCTGCCTTGAGTAAGCACCAAAGAAACCGTTTTCCTCTGCGTTTCAGAGCTCGCCGTAAAAGTAAATTATTATAACCCAAGTGGCCAGTTACGAAGTCTCGGTATTGCCTAGCTTAGCTTTACTCATTTTTGCTTAGTTGCACACTAAAGTAGGCCATATCTGTGTAAGTTACTATATTTTTCTAAGCGTACAAAAGGTTTTAGAGACGTGTACAGATTTATGAGCATTGTCTTGCCTTTAAGACGTCTTAAGTTGATTTTGAGTTGCTTAGTTGCTTCATAGGTATATTATTGACCTCTGAACTTTCACCTTTGGACGTTATTTTGGATGGGATATATTTCGGTCGGTCGGGATATGTATGTCATGTAGGGCATTTAGGATTTACGCCTGTTGTCCACGCAGAATTAGACGATTACTTTAAGCATATTATTATCTAAGTTAGGTAATAACCGCAGTAATGCTGCTAGTGTACTCATTAATCAGTCTCACAGTGCTGAAGTCCTCACAGGTATCAAGAACGATATGAACATGCAAACGTTTGCTATAATGGTGAATCTTAAATTTCCTAATTACTGATGTTTGTGAAATCGTAACGTTTCAAATTTTAGATTATATGATCGATAGAATAATTATAAATGAATAGAATTGCCAACAACTCAATATTTACGATCAGGAAATTGCAGGTTTAATTATTAACCCATGCTTCTAACTGTTCAGAACTTCAACATGTCACGGATGAATCGAAACCCTATAAAAATTGAAAATGTTTATGGAATGTTAGCA